ATAAAATGATGACACATTGATTCATAAATGACAAGAATAACATCTGTGATGCGCAGAGGGCTCGGTGGAATTGGCTGCAGCAAAGCCGTCTCTAAGGTGGCGGAGAACTATCAACAGTGAGGAGACAATGCATATATGTCCCCTATACGTCCTCCTCACTAGTAGGTAAGCAAGAGACCACCATGCCTTAAGCCACACCTTCCTCACTGGAGCAGGAAAACTAACCTGACCCTGCAGCAGTGGCGGCAAAGATTAACTGTATGCCCCTTGCCAAGAAGCTGCCGGCACGGCAGCCTTTTACATAAATCCTTCCAATCGTTTATCCTGAGGAAATAATTTCATAAATAAGAATGTGTGAAAGATTCTAAATGTTCTGTGCCTTTTAAAGAAAACATCACTCCAAAGAAATGCCAAGTCACTGGCATGAAATTTGCATTGCACAGACACAGAAGATGGTGTGCAAAAGGCAACGTGCATTTATGAGATGCCTAATGACGTCATAATTTTAGTCTTAAATGAGTTCTATTAAAAAGGAAAGACAAGGGCTAGAGAAATGGCTCAGTGCTTAAGAGCATTGGCAGTTCTTCAGAGGTCCTGAGTTCAATTCCCAGCAGCCACATGGTGGCTCACAGCCATCTATTTTGGGATCTGATGCTCTCTTCTGGCCTGCAGGTGTACATGGAGATAGAGCACCATATACGTAAAATAAATAAATCCTTTAAAAATCATTTTTAAAAGAGAAAAGGCCACCTGGGTATGGTGGCTCCCATTTAATCCCAGCACTTGGAAGACAAAGGCAGGTAAATCTCTGTGAGTTTGAGGCCAGCCTGAGTTCCAAGCCAACAAGAGCTATTTAGTAAGACTTTGTCTCTAAAGAAATAAATAGAAAAGTCAAGGCACTTGGTGACACACATTTTATGTCCTAGCCCTTGGGAGGTAAAAGCAGGCATGTCACAAAGAAGTTCAGGGTCACCCTGTGCTACATAGTGTCTTCAAGACCAGCCTAGGCTACATGAGACCTTGTCTCAAACAAACAAAAAGATCAAGAAAAAGAATGCAGTGAGCTTATTTTAATCATGTTTAATGAAATAAGTCATTTGCTTTTTAGGCCTTTTCCTTTTTAATAGGCTTTTAAGCTCAATAATTTTCTATCTTTACTCGCTTTCTTTCGATTTAGCTCTCTGTTGTAAAAAATGCCACCTCAGAGACAAAACCTGAATCCAAGTATACCTCACTGGTCACATCGTGCCAGCCAACTGTGCTGGAGAATGAGACAGTGGTCTGTGAGGAGCACCTGTCCACGGTGGCCCTTCCAGGAGACCCAGGAACAACAGAACACGAAAAACTTTCCAGCGAAGCAGAGCCTATGATCCCCGAAGGAAGCACTGCTGTGGCCCCCGACAGCCCTCCAACGCCAATACAGAGAGGCAGTTCTTCCCTTTTGAGTAGTAACCAGTCGGAGTCCTGTAGCCTCACGCCCTACCACTCCAGAAGCGGCTCCGACAGTGGCCTCGTGGGATCCGGCAGCTCCCTAGCCGACAACGAATTCCTCCTGCACAGTAACCCGGAAACAAAGACACCAGAACAAGAGCCCGAGCCGGTGAGGAAGGCCCCCACCTCCTTTGGTTATGATAAACCGCACGTGCTCGTGGACGTGCTGGTGGATGGCGGCGATGGGAAGGAGTCTTTGATTGGGTATAGACTCCCAACAGATGCCACGGAGCCATCCTGAGACCACCTGAGGCCAGCCGACGGCGAAGGATCAGATTTTCCTCGGTGATTTTTCTGCTTTGATTTCGTGAAAAGGAGTTGTACCTTAGCTGATACTAATGGCATGGGACGTCTTGATTTAGATCCATGTGTAAGGAGCCTGTGGACACTGCGGAGTTTACTCTGAAAACTTGGAGACTTTTTTAAAGGACTGTATCATTGCTTATGAGATCCTTTCTGGGTGCGTTACCAGCGGTGAATTTTCCTCTGTTAACTTTGCTTCCTGCAGTTGCTGCTTCTCCGTGCTTAGCACCTCAAGGGACATGTTGGGCAATTTTTTTTTCTTATGCCTTCACAATTGTAAGTTCGTGTATATAGTATGTTTAAAGTTTCACTTTGATGGGAAAGCTGAGTCCTCAAAGTTGGACTTTAAAGTTTACTTCAAGCTGACAGAATTTGATAGAGCATCTCAGTGGAAGTTTGTACATGTTTTTTTTTTTTTTTATGGAGCATTACTTGTTATTTTTAAGTAAAATGTTTTGAAACCAAAACTTATTTGGGTGTTCATTTACCGAAGCATGAGGGCAATCTTTCATAGTTAGTTGATGTGTTTTATACATTACTTGTTGCTACTCATTAATGCTATAGAATTATTTTCTAGTTTATATATCTAAGCTACAAAGTAATTCTAAAAGTAATCTCTTCTTTTAAAATGGGTGGGGAGTGGAGGGCTGTTCAGTTGTTAAGAGCATTTGCTGATCTTGCTGCAGAGGGCTGGGGTTCAATTCCCAGTACCCACACAGTGGTTCACAAACATACATAACTCCAGTTTTCCAGGAGATCCAGCACCTGCTTCTGACCCTGTTGGCACCAGGCACAAATATGGTATACAGGCATACATACAGGCAAAACATTCACACATTTTAAAAAAAAAATCCCTTACAGAATGGGGACATTTCTATAGAAAGCAGCCAGTGAGGAATAGCCTGTTCCAAGTAGTTCCGAAAGAAAAGCAGGTCTCACTGAAGAGCAGGGGTCAAGGATGCTTTCCCTGTGCAGTGAAGGAGGAAACCTTGAGACGAGTGTTGTACGGAGAGAATGCTTAACACGTGGGTGCCAGCAGTGTCGGTCTTACAGGAATTATTGCGATCACTGACACAGTAGAAATATAGCCCTGCTTAGAAAGATTGTATAACTGTGGTGCAGGACAGTCATGGCGGCCTGAGTCTAGATCCTCAACAGCATAAAAAGCTGGGTGTGGCTGCACCTGCCTGTTGCCCCCAAACAGGCCTCACCTAGCAGCCAGCCTCGCTGGAAACTGAGCATCAGGTCCAGGGAAGGCTATCTAATAGGTAAGCTGGAGAACATGAGGAAGGTACCAGAAGCCCAGCCCTGGATTCTGCCAGTGCTCTTACCACGGTTAGTGCCAACTTCCTATATTAATTACTTTGTGTTCATGTGACCCAAAACCTCACAAGAAGCAATATAGGTAGAAAGTTTGTTCTGGCTTACAGGCTGAAGGGCTCCAGCCCATCACAGCATGGAAAACTCAGTGGGAAGAGCGGGAAACCTAGAAGTCTCATTGTACACAGTTGGGAAGCAGAGTTAGGAGAAGGGGGAGGGGCAATTTAAAAGCCTCCAGTGACCCACTTCCTCCAGTGACCTTCCACCTCCTAAAATTATACAACCTTCCAAGAAAAGTGACACCGGCTGGGTGCTGTATGAACCAAAGACATGACCACGCCAAGATACAGTTCAAGGGAAGGTTTTATTGTAGATATAAGGGGGAAAAGAGCCAGGGGTGTCTGGAAGCAGAGGAAAAGGGACCAAGAAGGGGCCAAAAGACATCAGGGAAAGCGTAGCCAAAATAAGGAGAAAGTAGTAGCTGGGGGAGGGAAGCTCCAGGCCCGGGGAAGCTTAAGGTAGGAGGATAGACAGGCCAGAAGAGCTGAGAACGGCATGGACTCTGCAACAGGTACTTGTGATACTGAGGGAGTCTGGAAGCCAGCCTGTGCCTTGGTGTGCTGGTAAGGACCTCAGATAGCCATTTGTCCCTTCTGCCAGTGATGGGGAAAGTGGTTCCTTTGGTGGAGGGGAACCAGCTTCGAGTTCCTGAGGGATGCTTGCTCTCGTCTAACCACCAGAAGTTGGGGAATGAAATTTCTTTTGGATTTGCCAGGCACCAAATGTTCAAACTCATGGCTGACAAGGAAGGTTTTCACATAGTGAGAATAACCTGAAACGTATCCTGTGCAGTGCGGGAAAGTGAAGGGGATGACAAAGACAGCTAGCTGGGAGGGAGTGGGACTGGGCTTTGGGGTGAGCAGCCAGAAAGTCACCGTTAAGGCAACATGTAAGCAGGCACGAAGGAGGTGAAGCAATGAGCTTGTACCTCTCAGGAATGCATTCAAGAGAGTGGGAGGGAGTGCGCCTGGCATGGCAAAGGAATGTCAGGAAGGTTGTGAAGTCTGGAGAGCTGTAGAGAAAGTGGAGAGTGTGCAGGGCATGAATTTAAGAGTTGACAGAGTCAGCTCCTGGAAGGTCCGAGAAACAAATGTTTGGTTTTCATTCTGATTGAGACCGGAAGGTTGGCATGTTCATGTTTAAAAGGAACACTCCACTTGGTGCGCAGGACAGTAGAACAGGAAGGCTGGTCAGGAGGTCATGGCCACAGCTCTGCCAAAATATCATGATAGCAGGGACCTGATGGTCAAGATGGAGGAAGGAATGCCCAGTGCCATTCAGATTCCAATGAAAGCTCTTTCCAGGGTCCCCAAACACTTGAAGGTCTAAGGAAAGGACTTAATGGTTTCCAAGGTCACTGAATGACCTTGATCAAAAACAATCAAAATAGGCTCCCTAAATAGGACCAGAACAAGGATGGCAACAATAAACACGTTAATGTAAATAGTAGAAGGCATGGAAGGCCTCAACCCTAGACAAAGACTAAGGAAGACCGGGAGGCCAAGAAACAGTCTTCCCCAGAGAAGAACGTGCCAATGGTCAGCTCTGAGAATATACACATACATGAAACAGACCACACAGACATGACATTCTTTGAAAAAAAAAGCAGTCAAAACAAAATCAATAGTCTCTCTTGTCCAGAAAAATATATATAAAGAACAGATAGTGTTAATTTCATGACGTCTTATTAAGTTTTGTGAAAGAGGATTTTCAGATGTCACACAAATCAAGTGGCCTCTATCAGAAATGCTTAGGACTGGAATTCCTTCAGCTTTTTGGAAATGTCCTATATTTTAGAATGTTTGCATATACATGAATACCTTAGGAGTGGAGTCGGAGTCTAAACACACATTTTGTTTATGTTTTATGTCTGTCTCAGTTTGTACACAGAGCCTGGAGGGCTCGGGCTGGTGTTTGTAGAGCAGCTGCCTTCGACCATTCTCCATGGCGTGAGCCTGGAGCATCTCAGCACTCCAAACGTTCCACCGTGGAACAGGTTAGAGTTCTTTCGTATATTCAGAGCATGGATGTTCAACCTGTCACGTATTGTTGTTGAAGGTCCAAATGACCAAAATTAAACTTAGGTTGCACAGCGTGCTTATTGATTGTATTTGCAGAGCAAGGTTCCTTCTTTTCTGAATTCTCCTCTGAAAACAGTTTTGAATTGCAAACCAATTCTTCTAGGAATTCAGAGCTGCTTGAAGGTCATAGGCATTCCTTGGGGAAGTTATGAGGGTCTGGTGAGTAAGAAAAGGCAACAGGTGTCCCAGTTTGCCACTATGGGCATCCACAGGTCTGGTGCTGGAATTGTGAGGACAGAATGAGAGAAGGGTCTGGAGAAGAAACCAGAGGCAAACGCCATCTGAGTCACTGTGGATGGACACCACCAAAGTCACCCTGAGCATCTGGTTTTAAACCCCACTCTGAAGGAGAAAAAGGGACACATACAGGGCCACCTAGCTGCAAAAGATTACCTCGACCCTATGGTTGCTGGATCTGCTGTTGAGTTCATTTTTGCCAACTCATGCCTAGAACAGTGCCTGCATTTAACAGGCTAAAAGGGATTATTTTCTTGTCTGTGTGAGTATTGCATTCTTCTTTGACATCTTCCTGTCCCTTTAAGGGATGGATATTCCAAATAAAGAATGACAGTGGCAATTTTATAATCATCTTCACACTGTGAATTCATCCAGATCTGATTTTGCTCCTCATTCCGGGACTGTTTGCTATAGAACTTTAACCAAGTACTCTCAGTTTCTCCGTGCCTCAGTTTCTTCATCTGAAATGTCAAGATAACGATACCAACCTCCTAGGCTAAGAGATGGTTTTAATTAAGTTAATGCACACAAAACCCTTAACAGTGTCCCATGATTAATGAGTGTTACTCTTGCCTTTCCACGGCCCTTCTATTTTTGAAACAAATCATGCCATTTTAAGCTGCCATACTTCAATACGTACCTCTAGAAAAGAACAACAGCAGCAAAAAGAGTAGCACCCCATATCACACCTAAAAATAAGTTCGTTCCCTAGGAGAATTATTGATCTTCTAGAAGCCACAGAAGAAAGAAGGAAGAAAGAAGAGAGTCAAGTTTGGCCAAGTCAGGGGCTTGGGCACGTTCTCCCGACACAGCACAATGGGGACACCTGTTGTCATAGCTACATAGACTCTCCCTCTTGAGCAGTGGAAGGTAGGAAGGAAAGGACAGAAAATGTGTCTAAAGCTTTCATTTCATGACTGAAGGAAGGAGAACACAGGCCCCCATTAACTGATTAATGCTATTTTCACACTAGATGACTTCAAATTTCATTTGCAACAATCCTGTACATGTCCATTGGCTGCCAAGTTAATGGGGTAAATATAATTAGTCTTTTTGTCAACTTAATGAACGGTTAGAGATGTTGGCTTTACACGGGTTGTCATTTACACAGGTTGTCACTGAGACAGCTCATGGAATGGCAGCAAGATGGGTTTGGTTTCTGAAGTGTGACATGACGAAAGCTCAGGTTATTGAGAGAATTTAGTCCTCAGAGACATTTTTTTTCTTTCTGTGCTTTGGATGCTAAGGACTGAAGCCAGGGTGGAGAACTTGCTTGGCAAACACTCTGCCACTGAACTATAGTTCCAGCCAGAGTTCAGTTCCTAAGAACTTTTACATAACTTTCCCCTTCCTCCCAACTTCTTATTTGTTTTACAGAATCAGTAACTCCATGCAAAAACCCTAATCTCACTCGCCCGCTGCTCAACATAATACTCTAAACTCAGGCATTTCCCCCTTCCCCTTGAACTGGAACCAGGAGCCATTTAATTGCCTCGAAATAAGATTTATTGGTGGTGAAGACATTGACTATCGCATGCGTTCAAATCCAGATGATCACCTACCATTTAATAATCAGGGTGGGTGCAAAGTTTAAAATCCAGTGGGCAATGTCAGCAAACGAGGAAGGATGACGCTAGGGAACTTGGAATGCCAAAATCATGGCAAGGGGACATAGCCTACGCTGAAGGACTCTACTTCAAAGAGGCAACCTTCTAACCAATGGCAGCTTCCCTCACAGAAGGGGGAGGCCTGCATCACAGGGAGGCGACAGACCTGGTGTTGTCGTCACACATTTCCATACAGTGTCAAAACACGTGTGACATCTATTCTCAACCAGCCTGCTGTCTGTCCGCAGCGCCCTCCTTCCTGTAGTTCCGCTGTCTTCCCACCTCCAGCTCCCTTCAGCTCTAGCCCTAGCTAATCTGTGGCGAGAAAGAGAGGACGACATCTCCCAGCGCCTTCTGAAACCTTTTCTTTCTCATTTAAGATGGAAAGAGAGAGAGTAGACATGGGTAGAAAGTCACAGCCCAACGTTGGCTCAGTGCTGTCTACATTTCTGACCCCTCTGGAATTTAGGGGCATCTCTGTCTTATCTGCTGCTTAGAGCAATGCTTGCTCTGTGGTAGGGCAGCACGTATTTGCCAAGTATGAACGAGCGAGTGGATGAATGGATGCATGAATGAATGGATGCGTGAATGAATGAATGAGTGAATGAATGCATGAATGAATGAATGACCAATGACTCCTACCCAGCAGCCATCACCAAAGGAGCTCTTCTAAGAATCGGAACGAGTCTACAGGTATACTGTTAGGTTTCAAACCCAGGACAAATGGCTGGGGTGCCTATTTAACGTATCAAATAGACCTGGCTGCCAGGTTCTCCCCATATTCCCTCAATCCCTACCTGTTACAGGGTCTTCCTGGCTGACATACCCTGTCCCCTACCTGAACTCTCCATCCCCGAGGGCTGGGCTGCACTTACCGTATAATCTAACCATCTTGGTACCCTCTCTCTTTGTGACTTTGGGCCTCCTGTCTGCTGCACCTGGTCCCCATCTCTCCCTCTTCTTTCCCCCCCCCCTCCTCACATAGCTCAGGGTCATGTCCAGTCTGGACTCTCCCTGATGTCCCTGCCTGTGGCTGTGCTCTTCCACATGTCTATAATTAAGTTTCTCCTCCAGCAAACCCAGGACCAGTCACGTTCCTTCTCTTCTCTTCTCTTCTCTTCTCTTCTCTTCTCTTCTCTTCTCTTCTCTTCTCTTCTCTTCTCTCCTCTCCTCTCCTCTCCTCTCCTCTCCTCTCCTCTCCTCTCCTCTCCTCTCCTCTCCCCTCCCCTTCCCCTTCCCCTTCCTTCCTTCCTTCCTTCTTTCTCTTTCTTTCTTTCTTTCTTTCTTTCTTTCTGTCTTCTTTCTTTCCTTCCTTCTTTCGTTTTTTCATTCATTCAATGCTAAAATCTGAGACCAGTCATATTCCCTTTCCCTTTCTTATTTCTTTTTTTCATTCATTTGTGCATGGAAATCTGGGAATGGCAAAAATGAGCTCCCTTCTGGGAAACTCAGCTGATCTGAGCCAAGCTGCTAATCTGACTTTTCTAAGGTATGTATGGATCATGTGTTTCTGTTGGCTTCTGCCAGCCACAAAACCTGATTCCAAATTCTGGAGTCTGATTCTTCAGCTGCCGCCTCCCTCTCTCTGCTTTCTACCTGCCACTCTATCCTCTGGCCTGCTTCACCCACGCAAACATCTCCTTTTCTCCTATGCTCCCTTCTCCTTCTCTCCCGGATATGTGTCACCACCAGCTGCCTGCTCTGTTTACTGTGGCTACAAAAGTCACACAGGTGTTCCAGGAAGGCCCTCCCATCCTCACTGGGCTCCAATTACAAGGACAAGAGATGCCTTTCTTCTGTGACTTGGACCATTTTTCTCTCTGACAAGTTTCTCTTTCTTCTTGGGGATGTCTTAGATGGAAATTCTTGTCATGACACTTTATCCACCTCAGCTGGCTCTGGGCTCTGGCTTGCTACACCTGTCTGGGTCTCTACTACTGGATCCCTTTTCCCTGCTCCCTCTAGCTTTCTCTAGCCTTCCTTGAGGAACTATGGCCTGCCTGCAGTCCCACTAAGTCACCTGTCAGTCCTGCCTGCAGTCCCACTAAGACACCTGTCAGTCCTGCCTGCAGCCTCAATAAGCCATCTGTCAGCTCCTGCATTCCCAGAGCTTCATTTCTCAGCCCCCTCCTGGACCTTACAGGAACACCCCGTCCCTGGCACACAATGTTCTACTTTGTAACTATCTTTGTCTTTGTCTACAGGCTCATACTTTATTACCACAGATTGGCCTCGGCACAGAACAAAGGCCTAAAATTGACACAGTTGATATTCAAATTCTCACAGATTGTAACAACTTCTGTTACCACAAAAGTAAACGACCACAAAGTCTCTTATCTCTAAGATTCCAAATCTTTTCATTCTGCTATTTAAAATCACCAATAAAAATATTATCTCTATGATTTTTCTGTGCTCTGCTAAGGAAAAAAAACTCTTAAGACTATGCTATAAACTCTGTCTCAGGATTTATAAATTCATTGGGTATGGTTTAAAATATGTAAAATCTGCCACAAAAATTTGCCTTAAAACTTACAACCAAAGGCTTATAATTAAACACTATACATCAGAATTCTAATTTGCCACAACATACGACATATGTGATTTAACTCTAGTTTAGAATCTACTATATAAGTAACTTAGATTTGACTCTTATATAAGAAAATTGGTGTTTTTAAATAGCAGCCCTGTGGCTCTCCTCAATATTGGTTGATGAATCATCAAGATGTAAGCAGCCACATAACCGGCAGCCATCTTTACTAAGGTTAAAGGATACATGCACTACGACTCCACCATCTTAAGATGACCGCACTGTTTCAAACAACAATGATAGAACTTCTCAGTCCTACAGAGCCCTTAGTTTCTCACCGTATCCCCTTTTAGACTAAGGAAGCATTCCCAAGTTCCTTTACAGGAAAAATTTCTGAGACCTGGGTCTGGACAACCAAAGGCCTCTGCTACCCTGTATGACATCCAGAGTGTTGCGTTGGTACCTCCAGCTAGCCCCTGCATGATCCAGAAAGTCTCCTCTCTCTCTCTCTCTCTCTCTCTCTCTCTCTCTCTCTCTCTCTCTCTCTCTCCAAATACTTCCTGTTCAGAGAGTCTCTGAACAGAAGAAAGCCCCCCTCCCAAAAAAAAGTCCAAGTCCTGATGGCTACTGTAGCTCCCTCCCCTGAAGTTTCCAGCTGACCAAGTCCCTACCTGAGTGCTCCATTTTCGACCACACTTGGGCACAAACCCAGCTTGTGGCACGCATGCCATCACCCCTCGCCTCCAATGCATGGGGTGCAATTTCTCTGGCCTTGATCTCTGGGATTGGAGAATTTGCTCTGCTCAAACAGCATCATCATCATCATCATCATCATCATCATCATCATCATCATCATCGTTTCTACCCCAGCAATGCTTCTTAAGCATGTGTGGGCAGCCCGTTTATGGCTGTTCTCCAGTTGTTCCTCTCCGCAGTCTTCCTTTATGTGGTAGCTGGCTCCTTGATAACGAGACTGGAAACGACCAGTTATGTCCTCTAGAAACCCGGGGAATTTAGTATGTGGGTGGAAAGAGGTCCAGCTGGTCGGCTCAAGGCTACCACACTAAGAGGAAGAGACCTGGTCAGCCGTCCTCATCCACTCATACCATGACCCAATATGGACCGGACTGCTCAAATATGCCTGTTATTCTACTTTTTTAATTCACCTTGATCTTACTGCGTCAGTGGAGAAACTTATTTGTGGAGGGAGGCAGAAAACATATTACAAAGCTCGACGACTTCTGCCCCCAAAGAACCCTGGGAGCCTAGGGTAACCTGTCTAGGTAATGGATCTCGATTGTTTTCATTGATACATAGACCATTGAGATTATACTTCAGGCTATAATTTATCCTTCTCGGATCTCTGATGACATTGACTAACTGTTGTATCTTTATCAATTTAACTCCACCCCCACCCCCCCACCCCTCACCCCACCTCCCAGGCTTCAGCAGCCTCCTCCTTAGTTCTCCTGACTTAGAAAAATCAGGCTTTAATCACCTGGAGCTTCTAGGCCCCCAGCTGAGAAAGACAAACAGTTTATCTTGCTACCAGACTCTGAAAAGAGATTAAACTCACAAATCAGGTTTCCGAGTAACTTTTTACTGTTCCTTTATTTAAAGGAACTTCCTTTACAGTGCGGGCTCTCAGTTACCAACCACCCATGTCTCACGGTAAATAACTGGACTAAAAAAGTTTAAAATCTATGCACGTTATAAAAGTGTAAGAAAGCGATTCAAAGTATATAAAAAAAAATCTTTCCATCGCCATGCCATTGTTAAACTAAGACTTCAAAAGTTCAGAGTCTGGGGGGCTGGAGAGATGGCTCAGAGGTTAAGAGCATTGCTTGCTCTTCCAAAGGTCCTGAGTTCAATTCCCAGCAACCACATGGTGGCTCATAACCATCTGTAATGAGGTCTGGTGCCCTCTTCTGGCCTTCAGACATACAGACAGAATATTGTATACATAATAAATAAATATTTAAAAAAAAAAGTTCAGAGTCTTATTAGTCAACAGAAGTCTGACAAGCTCTTAATCTAGCGCTGGTAAACACTATTATAGTCACAAGCTCAAGATTTTAAATTTCCTTTGGTTGTCTTCTTAGAGTAAGTGCTTCTCATGCTAAAAACGTCTGTTCAGCCTGTATACACCGTCTGGAGAGAGGAAAGAGTATTCATATTTTTAACCCCAAATAATTTTTGTGTCCCTACACTTGTGCTACAGTTCAAAAGTCTACTGCCCTTTCTACAATGCGGATTTTAATGCAGATTATAAACAGTGGTAAGGCTAACTTATCTAAAACTTTTGTCTCTATTTGTAAACTTAACAAAGCAGTTCTTGTAAGCTTCAGGGAATCTACTTGGATCCATCTTTCACAGTCCGATAGATTTCACATAACTCCTGTCAATCAGCAGCCTAAGTTTTCCTACCTACTGCCTATTCCTGAGGGTGGGCTTTTCCCCGTTTCCCTGATCTTGGGACTCGCCTCCCCAAATTACCAGAACTATGGCTCTAAGGGTCTAAAAGTTTCAAATGTACACCCTGGTAAAAAATTTCCCCCTAAACTCCTTAACTTTTCCTCTTTCCCTAGTCTATCTGACCCAGCAGATTTTAAACCAGCTACAGAATTCTCCAACAACTTGCTCTCCGCAGATGGTCCAGTCCCACAAAGTGCTCCAAAATCCTGCCTGTATGTCCCTAGCCCCAGGATGTCCCACAAAGTGTGGACACGGAGTGAAAGAGCCTTCTCTTGGCCAGCCTTCTGGCTTTTCTGCCCCACCCCTACCCACCCCAACATCAATGCCCCAATGTCAGCAGGAAATACTCATAGAGAAGAGCGTTTTGCCCTTTATTTACTTATTAGCAACAAAAGCACTTAGGTTTCAAACCCAGGACAAATGGCTGGGGTGCCTATTTAACACATCAATGTGGACCTGGCTGCCTGGTTCTCCCTGTCATCCCTCAGTCCAAGCCTGTTGCAGGGCTCTCCTGGCTGGCAAACCCCACCACTACCTGAACTCTCCATCCCCGAGGGCTGGGCTGCCCTTGCCATATAATCCAACCATTTTGGTACCCTCTCTTTTTGGGCGTCCTGACTGCTGAACCCGGTTTGCATCTCTCTCCCCTCTTCTTTCCCTCCCCTCTCCTCACATGGCTCAGGATCATGACCACTCTAGACTATCCCTGATGTCCCTGCCTCTGCCTCTGCTCGCCCACATGTCTATAATTAAATTTCTCTGCCACCATTACTAGGAGCAGCCATGTTCCTTCCTTCTCATTTCTTTCTTTTTTTTCATTCATATACAATGAAAAAGAAGCCAGAGTGCGTTTCCTCTTTTGACCTCAAGAGCCTCTTCGAAGCATAAAAAAGCAAAACAAAGAAACAAAATCCCCATGACTTTGCTGTGCTTATATGCATAATGTTTAGTGCCTCCAAAAGCACAGGGGGAATTTGTTGGTAAAGCAATGTAATGAAGTCTGACAAAGAGCCCTTGAATTGGTTCAGTCTGACTTCACGGAGCTGTGAACCAGATTTGATGCAGCTCAGACTGATGGCCCTCCACAGTTACCCTCTTCCATCGTCGTTTACTATGGCAACTTTGAAGATCTTCCTGGAGATTAATTGCTGGAAACTGTAGGGTGGAACTGGGAAAGAAGGGGCATCTATTGAAAGGGGCTCAAGGCCACCTTGGAGAAGAAAAAGTTAACAGTATAGCAGGGAGCTCTCGGGAGAGTTAGGAGTGCCAAGGGGCCTTAGGCATAAATACCAGGGAGAGAGAAGCTATCCAAAAAGCGCTGCCTACAACTCTTTGAACAGCTGCCAGGGGCTGAGGCTGCTACAATTGCCAAGCACATTATTTTGAAGTCCTCCTGGTCCCCAAAACACATCCGGCCTCTTAGAGCCAAATTCCCTCAAGATTCATTCAACTCACCTTGCATAATTCCTGTCCCACCCTGTCCTCAGGATTTGCTATCAAACTGCCAGATACACATTCAGGCATGTGTGTATATATGTGTACAGTTCAGAGATTCAATCTCTCTCTCTCTCTCTCTCTCTCTCTCTCTCTCTCTCTCTCTCTCTCTCTCTTTCTCTCAATGTCATCAAGCGATTATGGGCACAAGACACAAATCCCTAAGTCACATAGTCAGAACATATGCATATTGTGTACACATATATTTATAAATGTAAATATGTGTTAAGAGATTCCTAATTTTTAGTGTAACAAAAATAATGTAACAAAATAAATTTCTTTTAAGGAAACATTTGCCATTGGTTGAGCCCACGGAAGTGACGGTCCATGTGTGGATTTTTACAGTTCCCTCTTCTCAGCTGTCTCCTCACTGAAAGGAACACTGGTCTCCAGACAGGCACACTTGCAACCATGATGCTGAAGCTCTACTTTCTAGGCTTCCTCATCAAGTCCCTCCTGACCATTGGAATAGGTAAGTACTTTACTACTTTCTTTTAACTGACCAGTTTTGAGTCTGATCAAGACAAGTTTAGGAATGGCTTGGTTTTCTGGACTCTGTAAGGTCACTAAATGGTCCCAGGAGACATAGGGTCAGTTGCTCTCTGCATCCTGAATGAATAGTGGGTACCTGAGTTCATGGCAGAGGGAGCATTTTCATGGTAGAAAACAGTTCATGGTCTCAACCTCTGTGTGTGTGTGTGTGTGTGTATCTCTTTATCTCTTGCCTCTCTCTCACCCTCCCTCCCTCCTAATATCATCAAGTGATTATGAGCACAAGACCCAAGACCCTAAACCACATAGACAGAACCTAGATTTCACCTGCCATTTGTTACCTAGAAAAACAGGTATTTTACCTAACACCCTATCCAAGACTTTTCTCGTCTGTGGAATGAAGATTGTAGGCTACTAGGGAGACTTAGAGTTAGTGTAAAGGCTGAGTATTTGAAGCAGCCTCTCCCCAGAACAGAGGCCACAAACAAATGGTGCCTACAGAGAATTCTTCAAGAATGTTTTATCAAGACAAACCTCTCAGAAAGGCCCCTGGAGTCCCGAGTCGGTAGATGCGGATGCTCACTTAAGTGGCTTAGGTAAGCGTCCACAATTATGCAGTTGTTCTATGACTCTGCATTAAAGTGACCCCAGTCCTATCTGACAGAAATAAGGGAACTAGAGTAGGCTATTCCTCTTGTCCTTGGTAGCAAGGACACACTTAGCAGGAATTCAAGGACTGGTAAAATGACCCTGCTTCCCTACTCTACCGCACCTGTAACCCAGGGCATGGCACGAAGTGTAACTTTGCTGAGCCTGTATCCACACCTGCAAAGGCAGCAGTAATAGTATCTCTTATGCAGTTGTCCGTGGATACTTTGAAAAGAATGAGCATGGCTTCTGATGGATACTTCTATATGTTCACTAATAAGAGTCAAGAAGGAAGGAATTGAAGGAGGCAAAGGCTTATAATTATTGCATTACTCTGCCTCCACCACCAGCTCCTCTTGCCCGGAACTTTATTTTCAGTTTTCAGTAGTAAGAAGCAGGCTATAGAGTCAGCCTGGGCACAAAATCAGCTTTAACGCCTGAGCCTGGGCAGATCCCTTCACTTCTCCAAGACTGGGTCTCTAGACCAGACGAGGAAGACTCAGACAGTATCTTTATCAAGGTGGAGTTGGGCAAGTTCAATGAGCAGATGATGAAAAAGCCCCTCGGTGCTTTGTGCACTGTGAGCTGTCAATGAGAACATCAAGGACAGTGAAATTGTTAGAAGAATCCAAGGCGAGTCCAAAGACGTAAGAGACAGAGCAAGGAGCCAGCCATCTTCAGGTTAGCAAGGCAACTCTGGGTGGGTCTTCAAGAAATTGTGCCTGTCATCTGCTACTAATTTTTATGTACTAACTAGGATTAAGCAGGTAGTGATCTGGGTGCACAAAATAAGGCATGGAAATAGACGTCTTCTAAGTCCATACCAACATTCATGCATTGCAGGAGACCTTCAAAACATATATATATATATACAAAAAAAAAATTGGCAATGCCAACACCATAACAGCATTCAGTGGGTAAGAAGAAATATCCAAGGAAACCATCCTTTCTCCTTTGTCGGAAACTTTGAACCCTGAAATACATTTTGTTATTGATCCCCAGCCTCTGTAAGATTAAATGCAGGTAAATCTAGGTCACCCATGTCATATGATTTGAAGAAGGAAATGCAAATAATCCCGTCAAGCAAAGTCTTGCCCTCTCCTGCCTATGACTTCACACCCTCACCAGAGTCCACGGTCTTGAGTGTGGGCCAGTGGATCTGAACAACTCTACGTAGGTACTTATAGCAAGTAGACAGGCAGTGGGTTTTTGTTTGTTTTTTTTTTTTTTTCACAGTCATTACATCCCATTGCTAATTGGGCATAAACTAGAGATTATGCTCTCTACTCTTTTCATGAGTTTGAGTTTCTTTACCCATTGGGGAGTGCTGAAGGGTGGTGGTGGTGGTGATATTATTAATTTTTTTTCTAGTACGAAAGACATCATTCTGCAATTTTACCTTAGACTAAAGGTGTAGCTCAGGGGCAGAGAACTTGCCCTGAGTTCATGCACTAGAACTGGAGAAGGGAGGGGCTTCTCACCATCATACTAAGAGTCAAAAATGTTGATTTTTGACTCTGCCACCGCTGCCTTCCCTTCGAGTGACTCCCCGGGGCCTCCTGATGCAGAGCTTTCATGAAAACCTTCTGCCGCTCAGAGCAGCAGTCGTCACAGCCGTACCCACCACTGTCCTTCTTGCCACTTTAGAGACTCAGCCGGCCCATGGATCTCTGAAGCCTCGGAACGTCCAGTTTCAGTCCAGAAATTTCCACAACATTTTGCGATGGCAGCCAGGGAGCTTCTTCACCGGCAATGGCAGCGTCTACTTTGTGCAATATAAAATGTAAGTAGATTCAGTTGGCAGGGGCTACCAGGGGATATGCTTTAGAATGCAAACTATATCCCAGGTTTTTTTTTTTAATTTCCCTCCGTAAAATGAAGCAACATTTTCAGTAAAAGCTTCTCTGTTTCCAAACAAGGTTTAGACCCAGCTAGAGAAGTTTGCGGCGGTGGTTGTGGTGGTGGGAAATAGGGACCGGTGCTCTATTCACATGTCCCCTGCACACAGTACAAACAGGTCCAAACTGAGCCTGAATGTAGCCAAAGAAATAAGAGGATTTTAAACTGTTCCACCGTGAAGCTAAGATTCAACCTGAGGCCCCATGAAACTTTAATCTGTAATTCTTTAAGTTTACATAAAATTCAGACCTTGGAGTATCTGGGGTGATTCCTGTCCCTATCGTATTTTCAACAGCACAAGACACATGTCTAATTTGGAGAACTTTCATTTGTTTGCATGGCTTATAGTTAATTCACACCTGAACTATTTTGAATAGAACACACACAAAATCTTATCGTAAAGGAAACAGGAAAACTCAGTCACAGCAGATGCGCTCCTGTGACAGCGACAATGTGTCATCACTAAATGATGATCCAAGCTCATCCGATTGCGCTGGCCATGTTTGTGTTGCTGCCTCTGTCTTAATCCTGACACCACGAAACTACTGTAATTACGTGGAGTGCAGAGGATAGGGAGCAGCAATATTGCTCACTACATGGAAGGACAAAGTCAGTCCTTCAACCAGGGCCCTTCCTCCTCAGCCTCCTGCTTGCCACACTCCATGGTCTTCCTCTCTCTCTTGTGAGCGGTAGGAAGGTTTGGTTGTCACGCCGCCCCGTGGGCTCAGGTTGGCCTTTTGCTTCACCCTGTTTTTGCAGCGTTCTTTCTCCCAGGTCCTTAGTACCAGAGCTCCCTAAGGACCCCTCAGAGCAACTTCCACTCAATTGTCAAGAGCTGGGCTATGTGTGTTCATTCGGTAAGCATCGCCGGAGAAGGCATGCGGCAGTGGTTGAGGCTTCAGAAGTGGGAAGAATGTGGACCGAGTACTTAAAACGGAAGCCGGTCCACATACCAGAAGAAGCACACCGCTGCACACCAAAGGAAATAAGCCCTTGCGTTAGTGACACAGAAGGCTTCAAAGCTCAATTTAGCATTCAGCAAGCCAATGCCCTGGCTGACATGAAAGGACTTTCATAGATTCTTGAAGATAGCCTAAGATTTCAATCTGTAGAAAGAGCAACACACTAGAAAAAACTGGCATCCTCAGGGGGGAGAGAAGAAACTCACGTTTGTGATTTCCCTTCTGTAGGTATGGGCAGAGACAATGGAAGAATAAAACGGACTGCTGGGGGACCACAGCGCTCTTCTGTGACCTGACCAATGAAACCTTAGACCTGTATGAGCCGTACTATGGGAGGGTGATGACAGCCCGGGCTGGGAGCTACTCTGCCTGGAGCATGACACCCCGCTTCACCCCGTGGTGGGAAAGTGAGTTTCGCTCGCCATTTCCTTTCTGCCTTTTAACAACCTCTGGGTGCTTGGCCAGGTCCTGTGCTCTGCTTCTCAGCAGAGACCCATACTGTCGTTCTGACAGAATCCTCAGGCCTACACTAGGCACTTGTGTTTATAACCTGTTTGATAACCCTGGAAATCGGGGTCAGAGTTTCAAAGCTCCAGCGCCCTGCTTACACAGACACCTTTCACTCTATGAACCCCCAAACACTCAGAAACAACAATTATTTCTCTCTTTATCCCGACGCTTTCTCACTTCACAGATCCTGTCCCTCTTATTTACAGTCCGTGTAAAAACACAGGCTTTCTCTGTGAAACAGCCCTGGCTGTCCTGGAACTTGCTCTGGGGAACAGACTGGTCACAAACTCACAGAGATCCACCTGCCTCTGCCCTTGAGTGCTGGGATTAAAGGCGTGTGACACCAGCGCCTGGCACATTTGTAATTTTAAAAATAAGATTTATTTTACGTATGAATGCTCTATCTGCTTGTACAATTTTATGCCAGAAGAGGGCCTCAGATCCCACTATAGATGGTTGTGAGCCACATGTGCTTGTTGGGAATAGAACTTTGGTCCTCTGGAAGAGCAGCCAGTGCTCTTAACCACTGAGTCATCTCTCCGGCCCCATAAAAATGTTCTTAGTTCTAAGTACAAATACTGTAAGTCAAGCAGACATTTGCCAACCTTGTTAGCAGTATTTGTGAGAACATATCCCAAGACCTGAACTTCCTTCTGGTTAACATCTGTAGTGATGGTGTGGTTCCCCTGGTCTGAAGAGCTTGGAACTCATCTGTCTACCTCTTCTAAGTGATGCAATGTCCACCTAGACTTAAACTTAGTGACTTATGTTCAAAATGCTAGATGCAATGGAACTCAGGAGAAAGGTCGCTTTATTTATTGATTGATTGATTGATCATCTTGAGCTTTTTACTTGGAAGATGAACAGAAGAAATTAACAAACCTATTCTCTAGCATCTTTTCTGGGCACTACTTGAAACTCAAGTCAGTCCATGAACAATTCTCTGAGGTAAAGGAGGAAGCTGCGTGATTGAGCTGGTTTGCACCATTCAGGGGACGTGTGGGTCATTTGTTATATTTAAGGTTAGAAATCGGATCAAGTTCAAATATTTATCAACGTATGACCCATCAGATAAAAACAGCCCAAGACACCGGCTCAGAGCAGTGGAGACTTTTGGCTGTCCTGCGTAGATAGGGATGGTATCACCTAGTTAACAAGGGTTTAGGTTATTTCTATAGTTCTCCTTCTCACAGAGAAAAGGCCTTGTGTGTGTGTGGCGGGGGGGGGGGGGGTCTTTTGTAGCTTCCCAAGTAGAAGAGACACCCAGCATCTAAAACAGTTAAGCTGAGCTATCTGAAGTCCTTGGGAGGAGTCCCACCCCCTCCTCTGACTCTTCACTCTCTCCTGGCCCTCTTCTCCCCCAACTCCTGAGGCAGTGCAAACATCCTGTGTTGAAAAACAGGTTTCCAGGATCTGAGGACAGTATGTTCCTAGACCCTGGGGTGCCAGTTAATAAGCCACCTGTATGCACTGGCACTCCCAAGACGGGCTCTGAGAAGCATCCTGTCACAGCTCACGGAGCTCCGACTCCTGAGGTCTGTCTAGAAACAAAGCAGCTAATAAGGAAAATTGTTACTTTAAGTGCCATCTAGTGCCAGGTAAGACTTCAATTATACGGTACCAGGATTCTTTGGAATAAAAAATATATATATGGGTTTTGGATAGAGGCTATGGCCATATGAAAAATCATCTCGCCTCTTCTATAAACTGACAATGCAACTGTTCCAGGATGTTGTTAAGGAGAAAACTTTTATTGTAGATATGTGAGAAAGAACAGCCAGAGGCATCTTGAAGAGTTCAGAGCAGGTGAGGAGAGAGTAGTGGACCAAACATGGCCAGCAAACTAGACCTGGCCATGGGAGATGCAGGAAGGAGGAGGAGGGAGGAAGGAAAGAGGTAAGAAGGGAAGGGGAAGGAGGGAAGGAGGGAGAGAGGGAAGGAGGAAGAGAGAAGAGCATAGAGAACAGAGAAGAGAGGAGAGAGAGATGAGAGACGGGGGCAGGGTGGAGGAAGTCAGGGAGGGCACAACACAAAGTTATGCATGAGAAAGTGGATAACAGGCACTTGTGATACGGAGGGGCCTGAGGCCAGCATGAGCCTTGGCATACTGATAGGCGACAGAGATAGCATTTGTCCCTTCTGCCTTTTGACATCTGGGGAACTGGAGTTTCCTTTGAACCTGACATCTCCCTTGTTCACACAGCAAATATCTACAAGGTACTTACTGCACATTTGTCTGGTCCAGAGGGAATATGGCAAGCAGAGCAAGCAGATAAGTCTCTTCCCGGAGTTTTCTGCTTGGTAGGGAAGACTCATATGGACGCAATAGCATACTCACAAAATGGTACCCATGATGGGTGCTGTAGAAAGAAAATGAGCTCTATGAGATCTTAGCCAAGGAGGGACCTGGCCAGGGGTGTTTGGAGAAGTGGTTCTGGGAAAGGACACTTGAGTCGATCTCAAGATGAATAGGTGTTAAACAAACAGAAGGAGGGGGAGAGCATCCCAGACAAAGGGAACAATATTTGCAAAAGCCCTCTTACAAGAGGAAGCAGAACCAGTGTTAGGGACCAAAAAGCGGTTGGTGCAGTGAAGCAAGGCATGCCATGGGGCAGCGTGGAAAGGGAGCCAGTCAAGGGAGCTTTTCTTTTAAGGAGTTATGGCTTCCTCCAGAAAAGGAAATAGCAAAGCAAGCACTACAGCACCAAGCAGGGTCCCAAGTCTCACAAGATGTAATTTTGATCCCGTCATCAGACTGCCCAGGAGACCGCGTTGTCAGGCTTGTGTTTTGTAAAGATCAGTTTGACTACGTTGGTGGAAAAACATAAAGAACACATACAGAATGCAGGAAGGGGAAGCGGTAGGCTAGGCTACGGTAACAGGCTACAGGAAACCAGCTGTGGCCTGCATTAGACTCATGAGAAGGACTGTCGAAAGTCTAACATTGGATGGACAGGGTGAGCGGTTGGATATACTGGAGAGGGAGAAGAAAGCATCAAAGATGGCCTCTGTGTCTATCTCTGGTACAGCTACATAGACCAGAGATTATTTTTGGACGCAATTTCATGAGAAAAGAGCAGCTTTGTGGCATATTGGGTAATCACGAATGTGAGTTTAGTTTTTACCACATTGAATTTAAGATGCCTGGACCCACGCACACAAAATCTCTATACAGATCCAGTCCTCAAAGCTAAGAATGCCTTCTGTGAAAGACACACATCTGTGAGTCATTTGCATATCCTGCAATGGACATCGATAAATTTGGATAGGAAAAGTTTATTGAAAGACAGGCATTGTTTTGTAAGACTAGACATTAGGATATTTCACCAAAAGATGACCCAGCAGGAATTTAGAAGATTTGTAACAAATACCCAAAGAGACAGGGAGATTAACAATCTGGTGTGTTCACAAGCACCACAGGGAGACCGTGTTTCTAGGACAGGAATGTCAGGGCTGGGGACCTAGCTTATGTAGAACATAGAAGTCCCTGTTTTCTATCCCTGCACAACAAAAACAGGAGAGTTGCCAGAGAACCTTAGTCAAGTCAGCAGGCATTTCTAAGTCTGTACCGCCTTCCACAGAAGTTTAAGAACACTGGTCTTTAAAATTACCAATAGAATTAAACAATAAGAATCTAAGATGGTGAATTGAGATGTTAAAAAACCTAGGCCCTGGATGCTCCGGATTATGAGGCTATTTCTGTAAACATTGCCTGGGCCTCAAGGGACAAACACTGTATACATGTTCCAGGGAGGAAAAAATGCACAATAGCATTTTGTAAATACAGAGCCACACTAGAGAAAGGGTGTTTGGAGATGCCAAACGTGATAATCATGTTAAATTCTTGTTTAGGAAGAGTGAAACACTTATGATAATGTCCCCCGAAACTAAACAGGACTGTTCTCCACATCTGCACATGATGGTGAGGGCTTTCTGCTCAAGAGGATTCGGAGCGTGAACTGCACAAGCAAGACTGAACCCTGTGGCTCTTGGATGGGTGAAACGTAAACCCAGGGAAACTCCTTTCTCTGCAAGCAGTCAGATAAAAATTCTAGATGACTGAAAACTCAGTTTACTTTTGGTCCCAAATTAAGAAGCCAGGGTGGGAGGGTGTATATTAAAAACTGAGCTCTTCCAAACACTTAGAAGTTTGAAAAGAAAAAAATGATAACACAGTCAACTTACGAAATAGAAAAATCTCTGAGACAAAAATTGTGGATTCAAGCTTAGGTCAGCTACAGCTGAAGAAGAAACTCACAGACTAGAAATAGGTCTGAAAAAAAAAACAGTCAAATAAGCTATTTTGAAGAAAAAAAAATAAGAGACACTAAGATGCATGGCAAACAGAATAAGAAAATTTAGCAGATACAAAATCAAAATTCCAGGAGAAAAAGTATATACTGCGCTCTGTATCTATGTAGATAGAATATGTGTATATCTATCTATCTACCTATCTATCTATAATAACTTTCAAGAATTATAAAAGATATGAATCTATAAAGTGAAAATTTGCAAAGAAGTAAGAAAATTACCACTGCAAATTTTAGTAAATCTGGAATTAATTAAAATAACAATGTTGCTTTATTTATTTATTAATAATAATCTGGTTATTGGCAACAAAATGCATGACCTCAAAATTCTCTTTCTTCCCAGCCATTCCCATAATATACAACATAATCCTGTTGAATCAATTTAATAGCTACAAGTCTTTGAATGGTTTTAAAACTGTTCTGAAATCTTACCTCTTTAAGGAACTAGATAATATCTTTCTTGTTCTAAGCCCTCCCTCTACATAACTTTTATACTTAAGTTTTCTGACGAAATCATAATGTTGACAAAATGATTGGCAGACATTCTCTCAATATTGAAAGAGACTGAAATCGGTCTTTTACAAATGGAAGGAAAACTGTCTTCGTAATGATTTTTGAGACACTTCAGAACACAGCGGTGATTTGGCCTGATGCATAGTGCCAGTCTGTAACAGTTCGCTGTTTAGAATGCTTTATCAACAGTGCGGATTTTTTTCTCCAGCAAAGCTGGACCCTCCCGCCGTGACTACGGTCCCAGTTAACGGATCTTTGCTGGTGCTCCTCCGTGCCCCAGAGCTGCCGTACAGAAACCGAAAGGGAAACAATACATCTACGGAAAATTACTATAACTTAGTATACCGAGTTTTCGTAATTGACAAGTTGGTAGAAAAGGTGAGTTCTGATGACTAGATGTCTGGGTCTTTCGTTTGCTTAACGAGCATTTTGATTCTATCCCGCGGCTTGTCTTTTTGATGTTATGTCTCCAGATCTTTCCCTGTCTTTTTAGTCTTTCATCTTCCCTGAGAAGCCGAGTGAGTGCCTCTATCAGCATCAGAACTTCTATGTGCATGCGTTCCTGTGTGTAAGTGCATGCAACCTTTCAGATAGTCAGCTTCCCTCCTTAGACTTCCTTGCATAGCGAAAAGTTAATAAAAATATTTCATTCATTTTTCTGTTGCTAATGTTATTTTGTTAGCTTTCTACTCCCTATTTATTTCAGTAGCCTTTGAATTGCAGTTTCGTTTGGTAGTCTCTTTGGGGGTATTGATTGATTGATTTTACATCCCGGTCACAGTTTTCCTGCCCTCCTCTCCTACCAGTCCCTCCCCTCCCCATTCACACCCTTGTTTAGCAGTCTTGCTGTGGTAGTTTGTATTAGAACACCCACCATCAGCACCTTTATCTAGGTTCTATGGTGAACAGATGCCCTTTTCTGTATCCATCTAAGTCAGGGCTTATTTAGTTGGAAGGGGAAAAAAAAAAACACACTGAAACTGCTTCAACTACAGAAGAAAAGGGCTAGTTCAGGAAGACACAAGAAGCCATCCATGACAGTCAGAAACAGGAAACAGGTGCTGCCAGACTTTCTAAGAATCAGAGAAGCAAAATGGGAGCTGAGTCTGCAGATTCCCTCTTTGTCTCTGCTCTCTCTCTCTCTCTCTCTCTCTCTCTCTCTCTCTCTCTCTCTCCTTCCCTCCCCCCTGCACTCCCTCCCTCTCTTTGACCAAGTTTGCCTGCGCAGTAACCCCTGCAAGTCCAGGCCATTTCCTGACTCAGAACTCATATACTTAAAAATGAGACTCTGGCCACGGCTCCAACCATCCTTAGCCTTCAAGGAGAAGTCATGCGGCTTGACCACTTAACAAGTGGCTTTCTCCAGTCTTGGCCCAGGGCTTTGGGGAAGGAGGCTTTACCTGAAGATCTCCAGCGATCACATACAAATCACTGATTTTAACAAAGAAGAAGCAAATCGGTACCTCACTGGAAACCATTCACTCTCTGATTTCTCTCCTGTGTAGGAGCAAAAGGCCTATGAAGGAACTCAGAGAACTGTTCAAATTGAAGGTCTGACTCCTCGCTCTGGTTACTGCATAGTGGCAGAAATATATCGGCCCATGTTAGGCAGAAAAAGCCCGAGAAGTGAGCGAAGATGTGTGCAGATGCCATGAGCTGGTCTGAGGCACTCTGCAGTGCCGAAACCAAACGCATATTGAAGATGGGATGGCTTGAGCCTGCAACAGCTTGCTGACTACTGTTTCTGTTTTCTTAGCGCAATGCCTACCAACACCTTTCAAGGGTTTCTTTCTCAATACTTTCTTTTCCGTTTTAGTTACAAGGTAAATTTGAACTGATTCAAAGATTAGAATTTAAAGAAGAGAAAGAGATTAGAGAGCCATGATAGCTTGTGTCTTTAATTCCAGCATAGGAGAGGCAGAGATAGGCAGATCTCTGACTTTGGGGCCAACCTGGTCTCCTTAGAGAGTTACAGGCTAACCAGGGCTACATAGTGAGACCCTGCCTCAATAAAATAGGATAGTAAGATAAAGATTTTCTATAAAACCCAGAAGTTTATTTCTGAATATAGCAACCCTAACAATAATCTTTTTTTTCTGTTAAAACTGCAAAATAAGAATCAAGAAATAACAAGCATTTAATAAAATATAGTAATAATTTTTAATGCATTATAAACAGACAATCCTGCTTCAATAATTTTTTTGCTTTGCCACAGATACACTGATTTAGTATTTTATGTGAATGACTATGTTTCTGTACATTTCTATTTTACATGAATATATTTTCATAGTTTTATTTCTTATGAGATATTTTTACTTAGTGACCAATGCTTTCAAAATGGCCTCTCATGGCTCTGAATTTAATCTCTAGATTAAGATTTTTCAACAATAGCATATAAATATTGAAGAAAATCTCCATAATACAATCTCTCTTCACTTAACACTTAATCTTAGTAAGATTACCCTTTCTGGTTTTGTTTTCACCTTTAAAAGAATCAGGTCTTTATCAGCAGGAAAGGCAGAAAGAAGTTCATAGGCCACACTGATAACTCAGCCATTCAGGCAAAGGGGTCTCTTTCTATTAGAATGACAGCTTGGTTGAAGACAGTTGAAGTCCATGGAGGAAACTTGGTTTGAAGCTAAAGGCACACAGGGGAAGCTTAAATTGTTTCAGGGATTATAATGAAAATCAAACCCCTGTAAACTCTACTGCCTCTCCTGAGCAAAGATCAGGTGCCCTAAGGCTCAGAAATTGGCCAGCTTCCCCTGGTTTAAATCTTTCTGCAGCTCCTTGAACTTAAGTTATCTACTAGCGAGGAGACATGCATGAAAAACATCTGTGATCTTCAAGAAAGATGCTCCAGAATCTAACTCCCAAAATTACTGTCCATGATGAACAGCCACAGGTCCTTCAAACTGTGCAAGAAATATGTAAAGCAGCATCTGGAGCACTGCCTTGCTGTTGTGTATGATCAGAAAACATTGGTTTTTTTTTTTTACTCGTATTTTTGAACTATTCAATTTTTATTTCTCTTTGTGTCTTAGTACCTTTTTTGTGCTTTTGTACTTGGGGAAGGACGATGACTTGAGGATACCATCAGTGGGGCTCAGGCTTAGGCTGTGAACTCGGTCATCTAGAGCCTCATAACACGAAAAGCAATGGTTGGCACATGGATGTTATCCGATAACATAGAGTTTGGTTTTGATTTTGTTTTGCTTTGGGTTTGCCTTCATACCTGAGCACAGCTATGCTTATGGAAATGAGAAATGCTTTGAGAAACATTGCAATTTTCGCATAACATGATTATGTTAAGAACATATTGTCGTATTACTTCAATAAATCTGACTTTGTGCATTGACATCGTCCTTGCTATTTGGTGTGAGTCTGTGTGATGAAATCCTATTTAGTCATCTTGGGTTTCCAGGAGCTACAGCTACAAAGGAGCCCTGTGAGTGAGCCTCAGGTACCCATTGAGCATGTCCTGCCATCATTTATTGTACAACTGAAAATATGAAAATACGTATTTGGTGCAAACATGCCTTCTGTCCGGCATCTGAAACCATATTGTACCCGAGGCTGATAATCCTGAAATTGACTCTATTTGATTGGTTTAGACATTTGCCCTTCTTTCATGCACATCCTGTGTCTTAGCAGGAAGCCCAGGACTCCTGCATGGTACCCCCAAAGTCTAGCTCACGTGTTCCCTTCATTTCCCTATCCCTGTTTGTCATCTACTCAGAGGAACCATCCCACTTCCATCCCTAGCATACACACAGGGTAATCTCCTGGTGGGACTTGTCTTGAGTAGGACAGTCAGGGTTCTTTCCAGCCATTAATATTGGGAGTGTAGGACATGGTCTATTGTCACCGCTGGAATCACATACTGTGGCATCAGATGAGCCTGAAGCTTCCAAAGGCAAAGGTCCCAGCAGAAGGAGAAAGCCCAGAAGAGAAGGAAGTTCCCAAGGACATCAGGGCAGATGGGGGAGAGAGGCTATTTGATAATATAATCCAGCTGAACTGAGAACCAACCCTACTTCAAAACTTGGAGTTCTAAGTGGACAAATAAATTCCTTCTTCTTCCTGCTTTAACTGGGCTTGAATTTCTGTCCTTTTCAATCACAGTATCCGTGAATGAGATGACACAAAGGAAGTGGTGTAGACTGTGTACTACATTTGCCAAAGTAATCTTTGGTCCATTGCCCTACAGGAGTGTTTGTGTTTATTCTGGTCAGAGCTTTCCAGAAATGATTCCAATCAAGGGTTTGTATTTCCAGCAAATTCTCAGCTCACTCTACCACTTGGTTCAAATTTCAGTCTTCTTGGCTCTAAATACAAGCACGATTTCATTTCCACTCATTAGAACAGTGAGTCCAAGGTGCGCGGTGGTCTCCAGAGGTCACAGGCTGTGTCATTACGACACGGAAGACCAAGAGCTCTCTTTTGCTCTCTGACTCTCATCTTCAGGAGCAAAATGTCTTTTATTTTTAAACTGAGAGAAGGTCTTGCTCTATAAAAACCTAGGTTGGCCTCAAATTTATGATCCTCTTTCCTCCATCTCCCAAGGACCGATATTGCAGGCACAACAAAACAAGCCCAACTCAAGTCCGTTGATTTCTTAATATTCTAAATTTATACCAGAAATGATTTTTGGCATCCTGAGACAAGGCCAGGGCAGTGTTAGCAAACAAACTTTTACGGACCTCATGTATAATGTCCTCAGGGCTTGGTCAAATAGTTTCTTGCATGTTGTCTCTGCCTCTCTGTCTCTATCTCTGTGTCTCTTCATTTCTGTCTCTGTCTGTCTATGTCTTTCTCCTCCAACAATCTCCTCTCTTGCTGTCATCTCTACTGTTTTAAGAATAAGGCTTTGTAAAGAAGCAGCTGTTAAACCTCCTCAGATAAATCTCTGTGCAACTGATGGTGGTTACTGCAGATGCCAACAACTTTTGAAAGTGCAGATAGCAGACAGATGTGGAGTGTTCAGGCCCAAGAGGGACAACTATATAACATCTCCTCCCCAAGGCTCAACGACCGCCTAGGAAAAAGCGGTGGAGAATGTGTAAGAGTCAGAGGTCAGCGAGAGCCAGGGTCAAACAGTGTCTTCTGCACATTACAGGACCACTATACTGATGAAGTCACGGCAGCTGAGTTACCTGCATTAGATGTGTACGAGATCAAGCCAGCCATCAGTCTGGTACAAAGTTCAAAGCGCTTCATCAGCCCTAACACCTAACTGAGGAGATACACAGAGACGATGGCTTCTGAGGTAGAGAAAGTCAACTTTCTTTAAAGGTTTAACACTTGGTAAATTGATCATGCTTCAGTGGATAGCATAAGCCAGAAATGACACGTTATTAAATTATTAAAAAGGAGGACCCAAAGTTGAGGGGGCCCATCTGTGAGGAGTTAGAGGAGAAGTTGGGAAGGAATATAGTGAAAATATATTGTATGAAATTCTAAAAGAATTAATAAAAAATTTATTTCACTTGGTTTTTTTTTTTTTTTTTTTTTTTTTGAGATAAGATGTCTTTGTGTAACAGCCCTAGCTGTCCTGGCACAGTCTGAAGATCGGTCATTTATACCCAGGAGCCAGAGAAGTCTGTTAACCCAAAGTGAGGTTCATGGTCCTTTAGATTTAGATAAGGTTGCTAAAAACCTAAGCAAGTGTTAATCGATGATTGTCAAAAACCCCAGGAGACATAAAAAGATGTGACTCTGGGAATGTGAAGACTAGGAATAAAGAGAGATGTTTAATCTTTATTATAATCCTTCGATCTAACAACTTTAATTAGTTTTGTGAACTTTAAAATATTTTTTTATTTTACATTTATTTTGTGAGGCTTAGAGAATTAATGAGTTATGATTTTATAATAATTACATATTGAAAGGCTTTTTTTAATTAATTAATTTATTTATTAAAGATTTCTGTCTCTTCCCCACCGCCACCTCCCCTTTCCCTCCCCCTCCCCCAATCAAGTCCCCCTCCCTCGTCAGCCCAAAAAGCAATCAGGGTTCTCTGCCCTGTGGGAAGTCCAAGGACCAACCACCTCCATCCAGGTCTAGTAAGGTGAGCATCCACGATACTGCCTAGGCTCCCACGAAACCAATAGGTCCAGTAGAATCAAAAACCCATTGCCATTGTTCTTGAGGTCTCAGTAGTCCTCCTTGTCCGCTATGTTCAGCGAGACCAGTTTTGACCCAGGCTTTTTCAGACCCAGGCCAGCTGGCCTTGGTGAGTTCCTGATAGAACATCCCCCTTGTCTCAGTGTGTGGGTGCACCCCTCGCAGTCCTGAGTTCCTTGCTAGTGCTCTCTCTACTTCTGCTCCTGATTTGGACCTTGAAATTTCAGTCCGGTGCTCCAATGTGGGTCTCTGTCTCTGTCTCCTTTCATCGCCTGATGAAGTTTAATATTCAGGAGGATGCCTATATGATTTTCTTTGGGTTCTCCTTATTTAGCTTCCCTAAGAACCCAAATTATAGGTTCAATGTCCTTTATTTATGGCTAGAAACCACTTTTTATTAGGTTTTAATAAGTGTTAAATGTTTGAAGATAAGATTTTTATTACCTGGTAATACTTAGAGAATGTTGCTTTTTAAAAAATGCCATTTGATTAAAAGTTAAAAATGATTCTTAACTGAACATTAAACCATTAGTAACCACTAAGAACATGTTTTTCTCATATACTAAAGTTCCTTGAATATTTTTTTTTCAACCTGTGAGCTCCCTGCTCCGAGCTTCATGGCCTCAATAACACAAGTCTCATTTCTAATTCTGGTGCCCTAATTATGAATTATTAAAAGTATGTGGAACTTATCTCGCTCACTACATCCAGTTGTTGACACATACAACCCATACTCAGAACATCTGTTCTCTTGACCCATACCATTCAGCTCTTAGGGAAACATTTCTCTCATGTATTGTCCTATGTCTGGAAATAAAATAGAGTACAGAACCGGGGATGGTGTAGGGATGGGGTGGCTCTCTGTGCCTGCCACACAGTGTGAGGACCCTCAGTTCAGATCCCCAGCACCCACGGAAAAGGCCAAACAATGTTGTAATTGATATAGTTTCTATATTATTATTCAGGACTGAGAGGCTGGAAAATGAATGCACAGTCTTTGCCTACAATCATGTATATGATAGTCAGAATTTATTACCCTGAGAGGAGACCAAACTCTGTCAACAGTAATGGAATTCTTTGAAACACTTTAGGGATTAAACCAACTATTTCCATCTGCTTAAATATCAATACTTTCTGGAACACATATCAAATTTAACTTTCCAAACCATTCAGATCAAAACAAGTGTTGCCGAGTCGCAGCTGTTAAATCAATGCTGTTGTTTGTTAAAAAAAAAAAAAAATCCAAACAATGACTAAGTGGCCCTAAAAGAAGAGCAGAGACATTCTCTGCAGAACTCTGCTGGAAAATAAAATGCATTTGAATGTTTTTCCTCTGCAGTTATTTGATATGGAACACTGTAGAGTACCAAAAGCTTCTTAAAAATAAAGTGGAGAAACCACCACCACCCAGCTCAGTTAAGTTGTTTCAATTTTTTTAAGCCATCCAAAGGCCTCAGTGGAGGAAAAGCTTCACCAAATTAAAATCAGAAAGAAACTAAAAACTGAAACCACAGCAGGAATGGGGGCATGCCATCACTGCAATGTAAAACAAGATAAACTGTCAACATCTAGTGTGTTGGGGTCCCTGGGTAAGGGTCCACCCCAAATGAGGACACAGAGGATGCAGAGTGTGAACAACTGCATAACAAGCTTTATTTTGTATGGCCTTTTATGCAGACTAAAAAGCATTACCTCAACTCTGAAACCCTCCTTTACTCACGTACATGATCATAAGAAACTCCTGCCTCTCCTTGCAAGAAACAATACCTCAATTAATAACAGTAATAAAGATGAAAAGAAGAACATAGAAACAAGACAACATGTATACAGAAGCAAAGTACTCCTTTGTAACTGGTAGAGCGTGAAGAACTGAGCCCAAAGGCCACTTCCTTATCCAGGGTAGAGATTCTGACAGAACCTTTGAGAAATGGGGAGAGAAAGTTTGCTTTCATCTATGCTTGGTTTGCCAAGCAACCACTTCCCAGGTTCGTCTCATCTGTCCCAGGAGGAGCCTGAACTCTAAGCCAGTTCTGTGTCTCCACAATAAACAGCAATCATTATTTCAAAAAAATTACTAGTAATTATAAATAGAAGCTATTAGAAAGGAGGTCCAAGGAATGCATGTTACAGAGTTGTAGTAGGAGGCCATTTGTTTGTTCCTGGCTGCTCAACCCTGAAATAATCACTTAGAAACTATATTATTTAAATCACTGCTTGGCCCATTAGCTCTAG